ACTTACTTCGCCTATATGCTATTATATAGGTTATCTTTCTTTGAGGCTCCACGTAATCCACTCCTAGATAAAAATTCTGAAGGTTGGTTAAATTGTCATATCTTGACTCCGTTAATTGATGACTGCTTTTTAACATGTGAAGAAATCAAGTTCATCGGTATGAAATTACTTCTCTAGTAATATTTAATGTAATGGTTATTTCCTTAGCAGAGTTTCAATATTTTATCCTAATTATTTTCAGAGGTGAAATGATGTCATTGGCATCCATTGAGCGTAAAAACTTATCAAGAGAAGAATTGGAAGAAATATTCTCTTTCGCATCGATGACACAGAATATTTTGGTTCAGAAACGTATGTTGATGAAGATTCACAGAACTTGAAACCAATTTCATACAAGCAAAAACTTTTCCGCGAAATGAAGGATCAATTAGACCGTCTCTTAAAGAAGTTAAAATTTACAAGGGAAACAATTAAGGAGATAAAGAATATAGCTATACATGGAGTAAATCAAGGAGGTAGTTATAAGAAGCAATGAGGAGTTTCTTGTATTAATTATTTTTCACGCTTGGCTGAAATCACCCTTACGTTCAATAAAAGGTCTTAATGGAAAGATCTATGCAATGTATTATGACACCGATCTTCAATATTATTTTGTCTTTGAGACATGTCGGTATCGAATCGGTACTACGTGGGGAAGTATTCTGGAAAGTCTCGCGTCTTTAAAAGAATTTTTGTGTTTAAAGGTATGTTCTTAATGTCAGTTTACTGCCAAATTTCTTTCTTACAAATTTTGATTCTGACAATGCAGAGAGATATAATTAGTGTTCTTGACACTGTTAAGAAAACAAAAATAATAGCTTTACGCACAAATTCAAAGGATTTATTTACTATAAAAAATCTTCCAGAAACAACATCATCCCCGAAAAAAACAAAAAAAAAAGAATAATGTAGTTTGATTTAGGTATAAGAATTGTATATAAAGTTATTGCTGCACTGTAAACTGATTTGCATCCTGTATAATCATAATTTTCCTGTGTGCCAATACTATTTTCGAGATGTTATTCTGAAATACACACCCTAATGATTGATAATTTTTGTTTTATAAAATTTAATACCAAAACTTAATTCTAAAAAGAAATTTATTTCTGAATTTATAATATAAAATATTATGATATTAGCTTTAATAACAGCTTTTACACATTCAGGTAAACCTAAAATTAAATGATGTAAAGTTTCTATATTTATATTCATCCATTTTTGCACAACACAAATTAATTCCATTTTTGATTGGAACGTCTTTTTTATATTTGATAGGATTTATATTTTATTTCAAAATAAAAATTCCTAAATTACTAATAATTCTATTATATAACTAGTTTAGTAATCTTAAGTAACCATATTTTTCAAATAATTTTAACTATAATTTAATAAAATAATTTTAACTATTTAATTAATTAAATCTTGAGATATTTTGTTTCAAAAATTATTTGTTATATAAATCTATAGAAATTCAAAGGATTTTTTAATTTTATAAGCAAATCATGTAATTATATAGTTTCTAATATACAATTATCT